AACATAAGAAGTTAACCTGTTAAGCCCCGAGGTCCCCGTCGGCGGGTCCTTTTTTCTTTTTTTTTCACGACACTGTGTCTCAGGCAGTGTTCGAATTACCCATTTGCTTTCGGGGGAGCCCTATTTATTTATTTATTTGGCAATCATATAGGCAGACCAGAAAGATGTGTATGTTTCCTGCATTAGATCAATATTGATTGCCAATAGGCCTACCTTAGGACATATTTTTTTCTCATCTCCGAAATCTCGATCGCTTTTTCGTTTGCCTGGCTCTTATGGTGCTCATAAATCTTTTTCCGCAGGTTATTCTGTTGATCACAGCTGACTTTTCCCTGAATCCATTCTTGTGAAAGGTGCACAAAGGTGGATTGTTTTTGCGAGCGGCAGGGAGATCAATATACTTTTTGCCTCTTTGCAAATCTCACATCCACATTTTTTATTTTTTTTTAAAAGCCATGGATACCTTTCATTCCACTCACTCCATATGTTCTGTGTCCAGTTAAAAGGCAGGTCATGGGCATCGTCAGGTTCGCTAGTGCAGGTGGCGCCGGCAGCTGTGGCCGTTGTTGAAGCCTCTTCAGGCTCCGCATCGGCAGGCCTCTCCCTCGGTGTGGAGCTGTCAAACTCGACCCTAACGCCGCTTACAGCCGGCCAACTAAAAGTTGTTCCGTTCACGTTGTCATTTTTAGACTCCTTCGCTTCTTTGCTTGTGAATCCAATAGCTGCAAGGCCTGGCTGTTTTCGTTTCGCCATATTTTTTATTACAAAGCCAGAGTTAAAAAGAATATCAGTATGAAAATATCAAATACCGCGCCAGCATCGCATGCCGTAACATTAGGAACTTAATTAGCGTAAAGAATGCAGCGCCGCCACGTACAGATGGCAACACCCAGAAATATTTACAAATATAAAACAAATATTCAGAAACTGTAATGAACAATGGCTATTATTTATTTGAAGAACTTTTATTTACAGAAACTCCACATTTCTAATCTGTGTGACACAAATATGCACGATTATTTTGGGCTCCCCCTATTTATCTCAAAGTCGGCCTTCAGGGGAGCTCCCTCCCTCTTCGGGGGAGCCAAGCCCATCCCCATTTCGAACAGTGGTCTCAGGGGGTCTTCATATTTAAGAACCTATTAATGTGTAATACCAGATTAACGGGAATAATCTCAGCTAACTAACGATACAAACCATTTTTACCAAAACAAAACACAAGTCTCATAAGAAGCATCTAAATGACCCCTGAGCGAAAAATACTAACGCACTTTGGCACAGAACTCAAGATAAAAGATACCCTTATTACTTATCGTAGCTGCACATACAAGATATCCGATTAAAGCTGAGGTTCCACAGATTATTTAGGTATGTATATCATCACTACGTGATCCGAACTCGCGACAGGGGAAGCAAACTCAGACATCACAACACGTACCTTTACGTAGTTTTTACGGGAGATCCTCTCACCCTAGCTGTCAATCTGATCAAAAGACTTGTTCAATGGCATTAAAATGAGAAAAAACGCGGCTTAATCGGTTAATCCATAGGTTGATAATGTTTCTNCCTACATGTTCTCCGTTAGAGGAGACTGCGCCAGCCAAACCTGGCGGCGAGTCTGCACCAGAAAGGACATAACTCGCCCCAGTTCCCTATTCATTAAAGCAAAGGCCTGCAGTGATGCATCACTGAGGCCCAGCAAAGGAGGCTCAGCCGGAGCCTGCTGCAGAGAGGTGGAGACGGCCTGCATTTAATGGAAGCGGGAGTTCCCGATACGGCCCATGCGTGCCGCTGCGTCGTAGGCCTTACAGAGCAGTTCGTCTGTGACCCTGCACTGAGGCCGAGGGCACCTGGCATCAGGAAGGCCCTGATGCCAGGTGCCCTCGGCCTCAGTGCAGGGTCACAGACGAACTGCTCTGTAAGGCCTACGACGCAGCGGCACGCATGGGCCGTATCGGGAANTCCACACTCACAACAACGGCCTATACAGACATAAATAAACCAGCGACTGTATTCGCCATGACACAGACAGTCTGTGGTTTGTACTTGTTTAACTTTTGTCTAGTTTCTGAACAGATATGAGGAGCTGTGAGCTCTGAGTGCTAACAGCTAACGGCTGTGTTGTTTTTCTGGGGCTCTCATTGAAGATGACGTCACGGCTCCGCCTACACTGCGTTACTATAGATACTACCCCAGTTGCTAAACTGTAATGGAAATGCGCCATAAAGTGAGTCAGTCCTAACGAGGTCTAGCCATACCGAGCGAGGCCGAGCGAGGCCGTGTAGTGGAAATGCGCCATAAGGTGGATCAATTAGCTGCCGACATGGGCATGATGAAGACGCTCCTCTTGGCCTTTCAGCCAGGGGCCGGTATAGGGGCTGCTAGCTTGCCGCCCGTCCCTCCTTCGGTTGCCGCACCTCCACATGACGATGTCATGTCACTAGCGGCTTCGGCTAACCTCTTCAACGAAGAGGTGGAGGACGAGGCCCCGCTCACTCCCGAAGAGGCTTCCCACTCCTCTGCTCAGGGTTCGCTGCTGGACGAGGACGCCTCTATGGCGGCCATTATTCGTGCGGCCCTGACACGCTTACAGCTTCCGGTTCCGCAGGCCGACCCGGTTCAGGCTAGCGCCTTTTTCAGGCGTAGCCCTGCCACTGTCCCCCTCACTGTTCCTCCTTCAGAGGAGTACCTGAGGGAGCTCCATGCATGCTGGAGGGACACCAAGGCCCTCTCCCACTCCGGCTCTGATGCCCGGACCTTGGCTGCCGTGCAGGATCCGGCGAGAGTGGGGCTGGGTCGCATGCCACCAATTGAGCCCACCATCGCCTCCCTGATTCTGGCTCCTGATGAGGCTCTAGTCTAAGGCCTGATGCCTGATGCCAGGTGCCCTCGGCCTCAGTGCAGGGTCACAGACGAACTGCTCTGTAGGGCCTACGACCACTGTTCGAAATGGGGGGGAGCCAGGGGGAGCTTGGCTCCCCCGAAGAGGGAGGGAGCTCCCCTGGGGAGCTCCCTCCCTCTTCGGGGGAGCCAAGCTCCCCCTGGCTCCCCCCCATTTCGAACAGTGGTCGTAGGCCCTACAGAGCAGTTCGTCTGTGACCCNTACTTATAGTGAAAACCACCCTTGAATGATGGGATGGTAGACTAAAAGCTTTAGGAATACAAACTACAACATATAATAAGTACCCTGTATCAAGACAAAACAAGTGAAATTTGACCTTTTTAGAGAGATTCAGCAAAACAAAAACACTTCTGGGGTCATTTGGGTGGATTTTCCATATCTCTGGCCCCCGTTGCTCGATCGAGGGGAACTCCCACATACTCCTTATTTGGTAATGTGTGTGTGTGAGACTGCCGCATAGCCAAGACCGGAAGCTGCGATAACTCTGGTGGCTACCATTAGCAGCTAACTTTTACTCTCCAATTTTTGTATAAAAATGGAATTATGGATTATAAATTAAAAAAATGATTACCGAGAAACATTATCAACCTATGGATTAACCGATTAAGCCGCGTTTTTTCTCATTTTAATGCCATTGAACAAGTCTTTTGATCAGATTGACAGCTACGGTGAGACGATCTCCCATAAAAGCTCAGTAAAGGTACGTGTTGTGATGTCTGTGTTTGCTTCCCCTGTCAAGAGTTTGGATCACTCAGTGATGATATATATACCTAAATAATCTTTGGAGCCTCAGCTTTAATCTGATATCTTGTATGTGCAGCTACGATAAGTAATAAGGGTATCTTTTATCTTGAGTTCTGTGCCAAAGTGCGTTAGTATTTTTCGCTCAGGGGTCATTTAGATGCTTCTTATGAGACTTGTGTTTTGTTTTGGTAAAAATGGTTTGTATCGTTAGTTAGCTGAGATTATTCCCGTTAATCTGGTATTACACATTAATAGGTTCTTAAATATTAAGACTCCC